ATCCCACGGGATGACGGCCCAGCCCAGATGCACGGGGCACCGCCAGTCTCACACGGAGTGCGGGGTCCGAGCTTCACCTGGGGACGGGACTGCCACGCCCCTGGTGAGAGAGTTCAGGATCAAACTCAGACCTGGAGGAACGCGCACGGGTACTGGGTCAGAGACGTGCCACAATGGATGGAAAGTTTTCCCCGTGAACAGAAAAGATGACTCGATTTTTATATTGAAAGTTTCTCTCACCTTGAACCTACACAAAGCATCCTGGCCCTGGGAAGTCACCACGGGCGACAGTCAGGGTCCCAGAAGGCCCTCTCACAGGACACCTGGGACGTCCTGCTCCGGGGTAGTTAGCACCAAGCTCAAACCCAGCATCGCTGAGACTCTTCGAAGTGGCCCCTGACCCACTGATCCCCAAATCAGGCTAAATCCTGCTGAGGCGCCCCCTGACGACACAGGCCAGCAGCGTAGACGTGCAGAGCCCAGGGGCAGCCGCGTCCTTCACGCACAGAGGCAGGCCCACTCGCTGGTATTCAGAACACCCTCTGAACCCAGACAAGCAGCCTGGGCTCTAAGAAGGGAGGCTCAAGAATAAACAGGACCCTCCCCTCCATCCCCTTGCCCCTCAAAGTGCAGAACACCCCAAAGTCCAAGAGAGCCCTCCCTCCCCAGTGATGCCAAAGCTGCCGCCTCCGCAGGCATGGGCCAGGGCCGACATCGATCCGGGGCGACAGACCACGTGCCCGCGCAGCTCTCCACACCATGAAGACGCACATGTGGGAGGAAGGGGAGGAGCTTCCCAGGCAGCTGCGGGCCTGGGGACGCGAAAGCACCTGCTGTGACCCACATGGCCGGTGTGCACAGCCGCAGGACAGGAAGGAACAGAGCAGTTGGAGGGGGAGCCCTGTCCCCTCCAGCTCAGTCACGGGAGCAGCGAAGGCTCTGCTCTGCGCGCAACACAGAACCGCGGACCCCGAGGAGGAGCAGACCTGTTCACCCCAACCCTGTCATCCTGCGTGGTACTTAGTATGCGCCTACTGGATGCCTGGCGCTGTGCTGATGCAAGAAGATGCTGGATGCAGAGGGGAGGGAGCAGACAGCAACGCGGCGTGCAGGGTGACAGGGTGAACGTGGGGTGTGGGGTGCATCTACCGTGAGCCCCGAGTGGGCTGAAAGGAGGGGCCAGGGCAGGGAGGCAGGGTCAGGGTCTCCAGAATCGGTGCTCAGGAGGGAGGCCCCCGGGTCCCTGACCCAGCTCTGCACCTCGGTGTCCCTGAACCGGGGGAGAGCTGTCCCCGCCTCACAGGGCTGTGGCGGGCACGGGGAAAGGGCCTGGGCAGAGCCTGGTGGACACGTGCCCCCACGTCAGGAGCAGTGATGATTCGACTTTTTAACCCGGGAGACCAAGCAGCAAGACGCAACAGGACCAGGACCCAGAAGCGCATCCTGAGGCTCACCCGGGGTTCAATCAGCCTCGTCTCTTCCCAGAAGAGTTTCTGCCAACCCCTCGGTTAACAGGGTGGCCGCGGAGAGAAACGCTCTCCCGGGCCACTGCTCAGTGACACTGCTTTGCATCTCTCAGCACGCTGCCCTGGGAACCCTGAGCGCCCTGCACATGGCAGGCGTCTTTTAATAGGTGCTGTGAAGTCCATGAAACAAGAGAAAGGACCTGGTAGACAGGTGACCTGCGTTGTTCCACCCTGGAGGAGTCCACGGGCGACAAGCCTGAGCTCGGGAGCCAGAACCCCGGGTTCCAATCCTGACTCACCCTTTGTCCGAGTCTGCGGAAGGGCGTCTCCGCCTCCACCGGCAACTCATTCCCGTGGAGACCGTTCTCTGTGGGGGCCCCCGTGCCCGGAGGGCAGTGAGCAGCAGCCCAGGGCCCTGGCCAGCAGCGGCCCGCCCCCCGCTGTGACCACTGAACACGTCCTCGGATTCCATCAGACGTGCCGCAGAGGCAGAGCCACCCCCGTCGAGAGCCTCTGGGCTAGAAACTCTGGTGTGCGGTGCCACGGTCTCCACCAGAGCTGCAGGGAGGACTGGGCTAACGTGTGCAGGACCACATGGAACGGTGAGCACCTAACGGGCCCGGTAAGCGTCATCCCCAGGTCACTGTCATCCTGAGGGTCGCAGAAATAAGTGAACCACACCCAAAACGAGAGCAGAGCAGCCAACACAGAAACACAGCACCGGGGGAGTTTCCGGGGTGATGGGCGATCACTGCCCGAGGAGGTCGGGAACCTTCCAGAAACTTCCCAGAGCAGGGGCAGCACTGGGCCGGACCCTGACGGAGGGAACTGCAGAGGGATGGCAGGTGCAGCGGGGAGGAGATGGGGAAGACGTGCCGCGTCCTTGGGGAGTTTAATTCAATTCACAGACTGGAAGACTGAGGGGCCAGAAGCAAGGAAAACGGCATGAGTGCTTGTCACACACGACAGTCACTGAGGAACGTCTGCTGAGCTGAGAAACGTCCCCGTGGTGTTTCTGCCTCCCGTCCTCTGTCCCTGTTCCCTTCAGAGTGGGGTCACCTGCAGATCCCCACCACCGCTCCCTGCAGAGCACCGACACAGGGTGAGAAGGGGACATGCCAGCTCCCTGCAAGGACGGGGGTCCTGGTCCCCTGGGACTGCAGGAGCACAGGGGGCCTGGCAGGGGTACTTCTCCAGCACCCAATTCAGCAGCATTTCCTGAAATGAACTGAGACTTTCCTTCTCCCAGCTCGTCTCCGTGCGGCTACACAGGAAGCTAGGGTCCTCCGGCAGCCTTGGGCCGCCTCCAGCTTCCCGCCCGCCAGCCCGCGCTCGGCTTACCGGGGAGCGAGTAACAGAACCCCGGCGACGACAGTGCAGCTTTCACCGCGAGTAAGTGGGTTCCATTACCTCCTCCGAGAGCCCGGCTTCAAAGGAAAAAGGAAGAAAGGGAGGAAGGGAGGAAGGGGACCCAGGAGGCATAATCAGTCTGAGCCAGCCTTATCTCGGAGGGAAATACATAGGGTAATTTAGTCCCAACGACATTCAAATTAGTCCCCTGCCCAGCGAGACATTTCAGGTGATGACATCCTGGGCCACTCCTGGGCATAACTTCTCTAGAAATGACTCTTGTGATTAAAACGAAATTTGAGAACTCGGAAGTCCTTTCCAGCCCACGGGCGGGAGAGGATCCGGGGGGTCCACGGGTCCCAGCGGGCCCTCTGCTTACCCTGCCCGGACGTGGCCCCCGGCTCACGCCCAGCACTTCCGGAACCCGGGCCATTCCAGCCACGAGGCAAGGCTGGGCTCTGCGGTATACACCTCCCTGGGCTTCTGACCCGCCTTCAGGATGAAGCCGCCAGGTTGTGGGGGCGCTTAGGGGTCTCCCGCACCAGGTCCCCACTGCCCCATGTCTCCACCAGTGAAAGGGTCGATCACGTGGTAACCTGGGGTGGCCACCCGACCGGCAGGGGTGGGTCTGACGTGCACACTGCCTAGGCACACAGCAGGCACGATATACTTGTAGAGTGAATCAATGACTGATTCACTGGCTGACTCCCTGGGGTGCACCAGGCCCTTTCCCAGGGGCCGGGGCCATGGGTTCTCCACCAGAAGCAGGACTCATCCATGGAAGCACTCGCCGTCCAGGAGACGGACGGGGACACCAGCTCATCCATCTCGAGGCGGACTGACTGTGCCGGGGCTGGCAGACCCGGTCAGGCACTAGAAGAGGCCGAGATGCCAGCTTAACGCTGCAGAGTGGGCAGGGGAGGGTAGGCATACCACCAGCCCAAGCGCAGCTCCTGGACAAAACCAGGACGCCCAGGCGCGGGCTCAGGGGCCAGGGTCTCCTCTGCCTTCCGTTCCCACTCACCCCCAAGCCCCAGCGGTCAGGACTTCAGGATTAACGTTGGAGAGAGCGTGGGGAAGAGAGCTCTGGACCCTGGCAGGGCAGACAGACAGCCAGCCAGACACAGGCAGGCAGTCAAGCCTTTCCCGGCCGCAGCGGTGCCAGCAGATTATACCCAGGCTGGTGCTCAGACGCGGCAAGCCAGGGCGCACACCCGTCTCCCCGGGCTGCCTAATGCCCCCTCTCCAGGCGGCTCCTCCCCTTTGGATGCAAACCACCCGCTCAGCTCGGCTGCCTTCCTCCCGCTGCGCCCCCACCCCAGGGGGGCTCTCTTCCTGTTGATGAATGCCTGCTAATACCATAAGCCCCGGTCCTAAGCCCCATCAGCTTGTGCTGCATCCCACATTTGCACAGACCATTTCCCCGCTGTTTACACCAAACGTTAACCAAGGACACAGCCCGTGAAAGAATCCCAAAGCTACCTCCGGGACAAGTCAGGTCGCTCCTACGCTCAGGGAACTTTCCAAAGGACAGACTGTCAGCACCGTCCACAGGACGCCTGTTTGTCACATGGGCTGGATATCTACGGAACAGGCCATCGAAGACCGAAGCCAAGAGGGCGAGAAACTTTCTCTGTAACCACTAGCTGCCTGCAGAGCGACTCAGCTTCCTGACAAATCAGGATGTCTTAGGTAAGTGTATCTTCCAGGCTGCGAAGATGAGTAATTTCCACAGTGACAAAGAGGCATGAAAAAACGAACACCGTTTCAGACCCAAGTGATGATGATTTCTGTCCCAGCTACGCTGTTTCACAACAACCAACTGAATTTGAAATCCAGAATGAACTACTTTACACTGGAAACCTCTTAAGACAAGCCCATGTCATTACACGTGCGTAGATTTTTTAGGTTTTTAGGTGCCTCTCACACTATCATCTTCCTCCTACTATCTTTATGAAGAGGGTGGCTTGAGTCGCATGGGGTCAGGAGAGACCTCGGAGCTGTGGTCAGGATGCAGAACCGACACCCGGGCCTGGGGTCTGTCCTTAGACCCTGTCCCCGGGAGGGAAGTGGACAGAAGAAAGCACCGGAAACCCTCCGACCTGTGAACTGGGAGCCTCGTGCGAAGCAGAGGTGACCCGGGGTGTCCCAACCCCTCCCCGAGCCGGGCGTGCTGACACCTACCGGTGAAGTCCTCCTGGCACTCGCAGGTGTAGCCGCCCTCGCGGCTGCGGCACCGGCCGTTGGCGCCGCAGGGGCTGGAGTAGCACAGGTCGATCTCGGTCTCGCAGTAGTCGCCGGTGAAGCCGGGCGGGCACCGGCACCGCAGGCCGTTGACGGGGTGGATGGGCCGGAAGAGGACGGTCGGGGAGCTGATGAAGGGGGCCGAGCTGTCGAACTTGAGCACCGACACGCACTTCATGTAGTTCTCGCACGGCTCCCGCAGGCAGATGTTGTCGTCGAAGGGCAGCACGCGCTGGGCGGACACGGCCGTCAGCAGCGTCCGGTTCAGGTAGATCTGCTCCTGCAGGTCCTCCGAGGGGAAAAACTTGTCCTGGACGCCACCCGGGAGCAAGGCCGAGAAGGTCACGTTCAGGATGTTGGAGCTGACGTCCGTGTCATTCTGGATGTTGAAGATGAAGACGGCGTCCTTGGTGGTGGACAGCACCGTGGCCACACCTTCCACAAAGAGGGACAGCAGCGGGGAGAGGAACTGCTCCTGCGACATGTTCTCCAGGCGGACGGTGATGCTGTTGGTCAGCATGTCGTCCGTGATGATGGTCACCCGCAGGGTGCAGAGCGCCACGACGCTGTGGATGCCGTCTGCGAGACACAAGGGGGGTCACTCAGTGTCCGCTTGCCCGGTCCCCACTGGCCCCACCAGGAACAGCATGCCCCACCCTGCCCCTGACCACCACCTGGACCCCACTCCCCAGACCCTGTTTGGCTCCCATCTGAGAGCACAGCTACCATCTAGTCCATCAAATGGACCCCCAACCACAGGGCAGGGCATCTCGACACCCACCGTGATCCACCCCTTCCCTGCCTAGAATCCAGTCTCACACCCGGGGCCACTGAGCCCCTGTTTTACCTCCTCTGCACCTGTTCCAGCCTCCAGGTGGCCCCGCCCACCCCCCAGCCCAGCTCAGGCCCCACAGTGCCGGGACGGTCTTGCCCAGGTTCAGCCTTGGCTCATGCTGCGCTGGCGGCCTCTCTTCCCTCTGCTGCGTCCCACCCGTCTCTGCACACCCAGCCCAGAGGACAGGCTCAGCACGCGATGCTTCAGAGAGACGCGCGCAGGACGCTGCATCCCAGCCAACACGCGTGAACAGATCATGAAGTGAGGTGCTTAGAACTTGGGGGCCGCAAAGGGTGGAATATGTTCATTATCAAGTTGCACACACCACAGATCCTGAGCCCAGAGGAGCTGTGCGGGGACCACCACGGGGGCTCTCTGAGGAGAGCCATAGCCACTCCTGGGGGGACCATGCGTCACAAAACTTGTCCAAACAATGGAGAAACGGGACCACCACAGAAGTCACAATGCATTCAGGTGCAAGCCGGAGATTCTGGAAGATTCTGAGAGAGCCAGCATCACCCCACCTGACAGGTGAGAAAACCTGAGACCCAGGGAAGCCCAGCCTCCCGCCCGAGAACACACGCTCGGCGGAGGGGCCCTGGCCTCCCCCAGTGATAACGCCTGCCACCTAGGAGGTCAGGCACCGAGCACTCTATTACTCCTCCATCCGGTCCTCACGATAACCTGGCGGGGCTGCATTTAGAGAGAAAAGAACATTTGTGTGAGCTGGGTGTGGGGAGGGCGCCTGGAAGGTTGGCACAGAACCCAGAGGCCGGCAAGGCAACGGCTCAGTGCTGTCTACAGCTTCTGCAGAGCAGGTCGACCCCTGAGACCATGCCTGCAGCTCACAGACAGAGGGCCGGTGGCGGGAACGAGTAAGAGGAATCAGGCAAGAGGCCCAGCACGTTGCGGCAGAAAGCCTCAAAGATGGCCCCGCCCTCCTTCCCCCTCCCCCGCCCCAACCACAGGCCACACCCAGGCAACCACGAGCCTGTATTCACACTGCAGCCACAGAACTCGTCCAAAAATGTGGACTCATCAGGCCACTCCCTTGGGGTCCCCAAAGGCACCCAAGATAAAACCCATATCGCTTACCCCATTATGGTCCTGCACAGTCTGTCCTCATCACCCTCCCTATCACACACTCCTTCTCCCGGCCCCAGGGCCTTTGCACATTTCGTCTTCTGCCTGGAACACTGTCCTCCCGTCACCAGCAGCTGCTCCTTCAGCCACCCGGGTCTCAGCTGCATGTCCCTCATCAGAAGGGACCTTTCACATCCCCCCACTCAAGCTCTGCCACATCCCAACTTTAATTCCCACACAGGAACAGCCACAGCCTGATTTTATTTGTTCATATCAGTCTCCCCCTCACCCTCGCCGTGAACCTGTGAGGACCAAGAACTTGTAGGTCTTGTTCCTGCTGAACCCGTCACTTCCAGAACAGTCCCTGGCACTCAGAAGCTGCTGGATAAACATTTGGGTGAGGGAGGGGGAGGGGAAAGGGGAGGCGGGGGAGGGGAAGAAGGAGGGAGGGGTAGAATTCCAGTGGCATCTTTCACCCCAAGATTGACACTGGCACAAACAGCAGCAGAGGCTCCACTTTCCCACGTAAGCTATCTTTCTGTGGGTATTTCTTTTCTCTTTTTCGCAAAGGCCCATTTACAATAATATAGGATATAAGATGTTTGTTTCCTGGTGGCAGCTGTTATGAAACATCCTTTTAATCTTAAACCACACAGGGATTGGTTCTGCCCCAAGATGCGAAGGTCATACTGATTTAAGCTCCAAGCTCAGGCCGCGCTGGCGTGCTCAGCGCTATTCTGCCCGCCCCTCACCGGGGGCGGGGGGGGGGCTCCAGTGCCGGGACCCTCCCGCCAGCAGCCCTGGGGGACACGGCACAAGGAGCCCCCAAGAACCAAGAGCCAGGTTAGGACCAGAAAACAGCATGGAAGATTAACTTACACCGACTGTGCTGGAAGATAAAACGTACACCTTGCTATTACTCTCACCGTTAATTTCTCTCAAGACCACGGACCGTGCTGGACAACCAGGTCCCGGAGGCGATGGGTTCGCTCTGTACCTAAATCACCTGGGTGGGACTTCCGAGTCTCCATGGGCACAAACCCAACTGCCCATCACGGGGAGCCGCTGAAGTAAGGGCAGCTGTCCTGACCCTGGAGCTCGGCGTAGCCAGACCGGCAGCCGACATCTTCCTCCGCCGCTGTCAGGGCAGATCCAGACCACGTGATGTCAGGGGGAAAGTAAGTCACTTTTCCACACAAAACAAAAAAACACGGTCGTGCACAAGTCCAGGGAGCTGTCGGCAGGGATGGCAGAAACTTCAGTGTTGACAGTGATTCCATCTGGGTCACTGAATTTATTGTTTTCAAATAAACTTTAAATTTTAGAGCAGTTCTAGTTCACAGAAAAATTGGGAAGACCGTGCAGAGAGGTCCGTACACCCAGCACCCAGTCTCCCTAGAATTAATATCGTTATGACATCGGTGTGGCGTCTTTGTTAGAATCAATGAAGCGATATGGATGTGTTATCAACTAACGCCATGCTTCATTCAGATTCCTTGGTTTTACCTACTGGTTTTACTTCTCCATCCCAGGCTCCCCTCCAGGATCCCACATGATACGCAGTCGTCCTGTCTCCCTAGGTCCTCAGCAGTCACCATTTCTCAGACTCTCCCTGCTTTTGAGGGCCCTGACGGACTGGAGAAGTCCTGGCCAGGGGTGTCGCGTGGCTGGTATTCACTCGCGTGGCGAGTTTCACTTTCTCCTATGCTTTCCTCTGCCGTTTTGTCTTCCTGATGAGCACGTGTTAGGGTCACCCCGAGAAGCCTGTTTTCCTTTTGGAGACAGAGAGCTCGCCCGGGGCTCCCCAAGCCTGCGGGGAAGGCGCTTGGTCATGCAGCACCAGCACCTCCAGGCCAGCCTTGCAGCGCCTCCGAATTCGTCCAGTGTAACTTGCATGGCTTTCTCCAGGGCAGGTGAGTCACCTCGTTGCCCCTGAGTCACAGCAGGAAAGAGACAGACAGATGGCAGAGTGGGGCTCTGGGACGCCCACCGCCAGATGCTTCCCACAAAACCCTGGATGGTGCAGGTGAGGGAGGGCTTCGCAGGTCTTCCCGGAGTGGGGGGCCCATCCACACATCCAGCTCTGATGAAAGGTCAGCCCTGGACCACAACTGCATCCCTGTGGCTCACTCAGCCCTCGACATGGGGTGTCCCAGGGCCCAAGGCGCTGGCGGACCACAGTGGGCAGGGGCCAGAGCTGAACTTGCGAGAGGCGATCCAGAAGGACCCCAGGAGGCAGCGGGGTGGGGAGGGGGAGCCAAGCTGGAATGGAGTTTGTCACACACTGGAGGGGAACGGTCTTCCCAGCCCAAAATGTGAGAAAGTAGTAAGGCCTGGCAAGTCAGTCCGGGAGCTGCATGGTCTGGGGCCAGGAGTCCAACATCAAGCGTCAGCAGGGTGGGTTCCACCTGAGGCTCTGAGGGAGAATCCGTTCCATGGTCTGTCCCCGCGTCCGGGGACGCCGGCAGTCCTCGGTGTCCTCGGCTTGTAAAACAACTCACTCCCATCTCTGCCTCATCATCTGGTGAGTCCGTGTCCAGATTCTCCGCTCGTAAAAGGACACCACATGCACCCCAGTGCCCACAGCAGCCTATTTACAATAGCAAGACACGGAAACAGCCCAAATGTGTGTCGACAGGTGATGGATAAAGAAGCTGTGGTATATTTATATGATGGAACACTACTCAGCCATGAAAAGGAATAAAATAATGCCATTTGCAGCAACACGGACGGACCTGGAGACTGTCATTCTAAGTGAAGTCAGAAAGAGAAAGAAAAATACCATGATATCATTTACATGTGGAATCTAAAAAAAAAGTCAAACAAACTTATTTACAAAACAGAAACAGACTCACAGATATAGAAAACAAAGTTATAGTTACCGAGCCGAGGAAGGGGGTGGGAAGGGATAAATTGGGAGTTCGAGATTTGCAGATACTAACTTACTATATACAAAATAGATAAACCACAAGTTTCTACTGTACAGCACAGGGAACTATATTCAATATCTTATCGTAACTTATGATGAAAAAGAATATGAAAATGGAAATATGTATATGTGTGTACGACTGAACTATTATGCTGTACACCAGAAACTGACACAACATTGTAAACTGACTATACTGAAATTAAAAAAAAAACATGAAGGAAAAAAGGACACCAGTGGGGGGTCAGGATCCATCCAAATCCAGAAGACCTGATGTTGACGCCCGGTCACATCTGCTCAGACCCTGCCTCCAAATCATACCACACGCTGAGGTTCCGGGGGCCGCTCCGCCCAGGACAGACGGGGATGTGTGTTGGGCGAGACAAGGCCATAGAGGCAGGTGGAGGTCCCCCAATGCTAGGGGCCTCGAGGGCTCTCAGCATGGGGCAGTGGGGGGTGAACGCAGGAGAAACGTCCTCACAGTGTAGACTGGTCTGTGCACAGACGGTGCGGCACTGCTGCTGGGGACAGCTGCGCACTGGCCTCTTCCCCGCACTGCCCGTCCCATCCCTGCCACAGCCCGCAAGGGGCATCGCTGCTGGTCTTTCACAGATCAGGGCACTGAGGCACAAGGGCTGACCCACAAGCCCAGCTAAGGCCATTCAGGCACCAAGCGGCAGGCCCACACCGACTGGGCTCAAGCCCTTACAACGCTGGGCGGAGCACCCATAGGAC